AAAAAAAAAAAAAAAAAGTCCATGGGATTCAAGTAAAGAGATGAATATATTTATCATTTTCTCTTATAATAGTTCTACTTGCAGGTCCCCACTCCCTGCCAGAGCAAAAGGGAAAGTCTGGGCTGGTTTGGACTTTTAATCCCCAAATCTGTTGGCTTACAAGAAAATGCAAGTGCTTTCCTGCACCACGCCAGGCCTGAGGTCGCCATGCAAGGTCACCCCTCGCAGCATGTCTCCCAGACAGCAGGTCTGTCCTCACAGTGAGAAGTAGCACAAGCTGCAAACACATTATCAGATTTCTGGTCTACCAGCACCTGGTCAAACCTAACAGATAGCTTAGCAGGCCCAACAGAGCTCTGGGGCTGCAGGAATGGACACAAGGTTCATCTCGACAGAGATGAATATAAGGTTGAAATACCTAACTGCAATTCAAGCAGACAGACAGATTGACAAAAAGATTTAGGCAATCTATGAGCCATCAACACAACTGCACATGCAGTGGAACTACCAAAAAGAATATCTAAGACATTTAAAAAGGGGGCAAAAAAAAAACAGTGAGTAGCAAATAACTCCTATAAACTATTTTCTAAAGTGCTGGGGTGAGGGGAAAAATATTGAAAACTAGTAGGCCAGATCTGTATGGTCTTTACCAACCCAATAAAGCCATGTTCCCCAAATTTACAACTTGAGGCCCCCACACAGACTCTATGCAAATGTCCCCGAGACAAGGCGGCCCTGACTGGCCCGGTGCCCGTTACCTCTGGCTCAGCCTCAGGAACGAGCTGGTAAAGCTCAGTCTGCACGAGTGGCCTCTGTGTGGGTTGAGGGCCGCTGGGCAGGAGAGGAGCGTCCTCCAGCAGGTTCTCAGCCTCCTCCACCATCCCGGTGGGGCTCACCCCAGTCTCCATGACCACACACAGCTGGCTCAACCTGCTTCTCAGCAAGGACTGCAAAGGAAACACAGAGGGGGCTCAGGTAGTGTCCTAAGTGGGGTGGCACGTGGGAGGCCAGGGCACTGCCCCACAGAGGACGGATGGACCTTCTACAGGCTTAGACGCTGACCTTGGGAGGAGGTGGACCTGAGCCACCTTGGAGAGGCCAGGTCACTCCCCACAAAAGTACATCCTTAATAGTTTCTAAAGCACTTTCCTTCCGTGCTCTCATCTGCTCCTCAGAGCAGCCTGGGATGTGGATATCTTTACTTACACGTGGCTCAAAGCCCTCACCCGAAGCCACACAGGAGCTAACGCGCCAGGATCTGGGCTAACCCACAGTCCTGACTTCAGGACCCACTACACGACCCAGGAAAAGGCTGATCCCAGAAGAGGAGCCCAGGACTCGGAGACTGGAGGCCTAGGCCTCAAACTGGGTGTCACCAACCAGCTCCATGATCACCCAAGTGTAGTGACAGGACTTCTCAGAGCCTCAGTTTCCTCATCTGTGGACTCAGAGCAGAGTTCCCTGATCTTCATAAATGGTAGGCAGGTATTTTGAATAAGTGAAGGCCGTCTAAATGCATAGTACTTTCCTCTACCGGGATCTTTACTATTATTACTATGAACTATTATATTATAAATAAATATGTGCTCACTACAGGAAATGTGGAACATGCCAATAGTTAAAAAGGATATTAGTTAAAACGAGACTAGTTAGGAAGATTTCATTCCCTAGGCAAAGCAACCACTGACTTGACATAGGAGCTCTTTCTTCTAAGTTACTTTTCCTTAGACATTTCCTGGTTTATTTTGTCTGTCTGCTGTTCATTTAAGGCATCTTACCTCTTGGCTGGCCTTCATTTCTTGAACATGTTCAGACAAAAACTGCATACAATTCTCCAGGTCAAAGTAGACAAACCAGAGCTGGGGAGAGAAGCAGCTATGAGCCCTGAGGCTCAAAGACAGCCTGACCTTGAACTCTCTGTCCCTGAGATGATCTCTCTCCTGCCTCCCTACCGGGGGCCCGCCCTTCTGAGGACCACTGGATTTATCCTGGTCTCTGGTAGGCACATGCCATTCTGCTCTCTCCCAGAGTCCCCACTCATAAGTGTATCTCCTTTGTGTCAATGACAGAAAAGTGGCTCTGAGTGCACACCTGTTCAAATGGCTGCAGCCCCATCTCCCACAAGTCACCAAGCACCTGAGAGACTCCAAACCACCCTGGACATCATGTATCTGTCCAGGGCTACCACCTCATCTTCAGGGAACAGGGGCCCTTCTGTGTGGAACCCAACATGCAACTGAGTGAGGCCCTTTAGAGCTGCCACCCCACTGCCCACAGCCAGGTGAGAGGTAACCAGCTTGGGAACTCTGGGGGACGGGAGCAGGGGAAGAATTCCCCACCTCACCCATCACCTCCCCTTCCTCCACCACCTCAATAGTCCCCAGAAAGCCAGATTAAACTTGGCCAGGCTGAAATCCTCCATGTTCACACATCACATCATTTTGTCAGGTCCACACCTGCCACACTTCCACTGGCCATTTCCTCTGGATCCCAGACTTCCCTCTTCCTAGGGACTGACCCATGAGGCCCAAGGTCACATCCCTCTTGCCAATTAATCTCTCCCATTGTCTCATCCCCAAGGGAACAATTTTTTTAATTAATTTTTTTACTTTTTATTATGAAATTTTCCAAACATATACAAAAGTAGAGCAGATAATGTCATTAACTTCCAGCAACCCATCATCTTGGTTCAACAGTTTATCACTTCATGGCTACTCTTGTTTCATCTCTACCCCTACCTATTACTCACCTCAGACACCTCCATCCCCTCCCCACCCCATCCAGATGATTTTAAAGATATTGTATCACCTCATCCCAAGATACTACTTTGAAATGGAAAGAACCTAATTATTTTTAAAATGTGTCCATTCATGCATCATCCATCCCTCTATGCCTTCAACTAGCACTTGCCAAGCCATCCCTATGTGCCAATCCATAAAGAGGATTTGGAGACAAATGAGACTGAAAGGACCCCCCAATTGAAGGAACTCTCCATCTCTATGTCACATGTGAACTGCCAGGCATCTTATGATGCCACCAAGTTAAGCCCCTGGTGTAGATCAAGATCCCCTTACACTCCACACCATGTCAGGTGTGTTGGGCTCCCTAAACACAGGGATCTGAGTGTGTCTGTTCTCTGCTATAGCCCCAGTATCTAGAGCAGTGCCTGGCCCTTACTAGGTTCTGGTAAATATTTGTAGGAAAAACAGGTGATGTGCACAAGAAGATTTTCCCCAGGTCTCAGCCACCCGTCCGACCCTGTACTCCCACCATGCAAGGGGCAAATGACAGGTGAGATTTAGCAATGCCCCCTGGAGAGCCCAGTCAGGACCAGGAGACCTGGGGCTCATCTAGCCCAGCTGTGTCCCAGACCCACTGTGTGACCTCACAGTAGTCACTTGAGATCTCCCCACTGTCCTTGGGGCAAAGAAAACAACTGAGCCAGGCGGACAAGGCCTTCAGGACCTGACCTGCCTCTCCCGGGGGGCCTTGCATGGGCCTAGCATGGGCCCCGCAGCGCTTGGCACAGAGGAGGCCCCATCTACTTGCTAAGTAAAAGCCGAATGAGGAGTGAGACTTGGACAGTCTCGGAGCTTCCCTTCCAGCCCTGCCCCATGGAGGTTCTAGCTGCTGGTCGCCACCCAAAGGGTCTCTAGGAAGGAACACTGAAGCAGGGAGGAAGGGAAGGGCTGCCCACACTGTCTCATTAGCAGACTCTGGGGACACTGTGCAGGCTGGGAGAACATGTGGCCACCACTCCCCGTCAGCCCGGCCCAAAAGCGGGCCCTCGGGGAGAGGTCGCTCAGACACGGTACCTGAATCACGCTCTGGCAGCCTTCCACCGTGTCCGTCACCCCCAGCAGCACCCGGTGGCGCAGCAGGGCTCTGTTGGCAGCTGCCAGCCTTAGGTCCGTGTTGGTGTTGGCCTGTAAGACAAACGCCAGCCCTGTGGCCAGACCTCCACGCTTCGGGGAGCCCTCGCCCGGCAATGGCCACACACGACCCACTGCTAGGCATCGTGGGACAATCCTTTTCTTCAGGACACATCCATTTCCTCCCCTACACAATGGGATTGTGGAGCTGCTGAGACAATCACTTCAAAGTGTCACACAGCACCCAGTTGAAGCCCAGCTCTGCCACTTCCCTGAGTCTTGCTTTCTTGAGTTGCAGAGCAAGGATAGAGAATGTCTCTGCCTCCTAGGAACGTGGTGAGATTTCACTGAGTGTGTGTGAGGCACTGAAGCCAGTGGCTGGAACACAGGTGCCATAGGTATCTAAGGGGGGGGAGGC